GAACAGAGAAGATGGGCTGACCAAAATGTCCCTGCAGTGAGAGTGGGCTGTCCTAGTTGCATGGCTTTTTCTCCCAAGTTAGGTGGTATGGGGATGTTTGTCACTGTTGAAGGACATTTGCCACTCATGTCTGGGAGCCTCATTACCACAGAGAGTACTAAGAAAAAGATGGCCAACTCGGCAAAAGGTGTTTTCCTCCCTCTGGGCTGAGGGGAAAACCCAACCAGACAAATCAAGCAGTTTGTACTCAGTGGTTTGCAGGAATTTCACATGGCGACCCAGATTCCTCTCCTCTACATGGGGGTACAACAAAGAGATGCAGCACACTCACCAATATCTCCTACATGCCCTGTTATGACCAGCGCTAGGGCAGGTGTGGGTGGCCAGCCCAGGATTGGGCAATGCATACTTATTGCCAGGAGCCTGCTTCTCCCTACAGAACCAGGGTAGGTAGAGCTGCTTTAACCATTGCCACTGCACACGCAGTGATCTCCAGGCCTGGCACATGCTGTTCTGCCTCTCCCCAGAGGCTCTGCATGCCCATACATCCTGGCCATACACCTTCCCCTGCTCCCTAGATCTCCTGCTGCTGCTGTCTTGTCCTGCTACATTCCACTGCCAGCCTGGCTTTAGCCCTAAATCTGCCTCTTCTGGGCTCAGCAGTAGCCATGGTTATCGTCCAGGACCTGCTATGGACATGGACCTTTGGTGGGACAGCTCTGCCTGTGATAGAAAGGAAAACTATCCCAAAGTGGCCCAAACTGATGGTAGCCTGTGGGAGGGGGATGGATTCCCAGCAAGCCTGGGGACTGGCCTGCACCCTGGCAAGCTCCTCTCAGTCAGGAATAATTAATTACCTTCTTGAGGATCTTAGCTTCAGCCCTTCCCTGCTCATGCCCCAGCCCAGGAGAGGAGGGAGGGAGGAGAAGGCAGCGAAGAGGGTAGAGAATTAATTGGACATTGTGTTGGGAATCGCCTCCTGGTTGCTGTCAATCTTGGGAGTGAACAGCCTCTTGTCTCACTCAATAGGAACTTTATATGCTTCTTTAATCCTTCAGTCCGTATTGTCAGGGCTTCCCCCCTCCTCCTGTCTCTCCTTCCCACCACAGGACTTTTGATGACCCCAGCTGTCTGAGGCAATACAAAGAAGCCCCTTAACTAACACCCTGTGATCTATACAGGCAATAAAGAGGGTCCCCTTGACAAGGATTTGCAGGCAGAATATATGCAAATGCTGGGAGGTGCGCGGGTGGGGAGGTGTGCCGGGAAAACCGCTGTGCGGCGGGCACGGCTCCTGGCCCTGGGGATGCAGTGGCCTGAGCAGGCATGTGGCACAGGTGAGGGATGGCCAATAAAAAACAGGGTTGGCTGGGGCTGGCTCAGTGTTGCACACCCTCCCGTGGGCTAAACCAAACAGGAGTGCCCTGTTCATCTGGGCTGCAAGGCCAGGGCATCCACGGGCACGTAAATGAGGGGCTCTCCCAGCCCGTGTCCCCCTGTGCTTTGCTCCTTGACGGCCACCTCCCGAAGTCAGGAGGCCATGCTCCTTCCCACATTAGCACATGAATGGGGTTAGGGGTGGGGGGGAGGCGTGAAGGGGGGCAAGCCCCCACTGTCCACTCAAGCAAACAATTTGGCTAGCAAATTGACATAATTACAAGGGACAGAGAGAAAAGAAAGACGAGCCCCCTCCCCTGCGCTCCAGAGGGCCCGACCCCTGCCGAGTTACTTAGACCCTTTGTGCGACTCAATGCTAGGTACTGATGAGGGGACGTATGCCCTTTTCAAGGGCCCTAAGCGACCGGCTGCCCTAATCTGATTACAATTTACAGCACTCCCTCAGAAGCGGCTGGAGCAGTGCTCACGCAGGTGTGGACACGCCTAGTCGGACATGCACGCGCTCGCTCCAGCGCAAAGGTGGAGGGAAGGGCACAGCGAAGGTAGATGGACATGCATGGCAAAGGTAGATGAATGTGCATGGCAAAGGCAGATGGACGTGCACACTGGCACTGTGGCCAACAACACACCAACATCGGCAGCGACGTCGGCAGTGTGCATTTCAGTGTGCCGGTTGTACAGGGTCAAGAAGGCTGAAGGCATGGCCATGGGGACACAGGGCATGCTGCCAGCATCAGATACACCATGGCCAACACCTGGGGTGTGCAGTGAGCCCATTCCAGCCCAAACCCAGGGTGTGCATCGTGTACCTGCACCAACACACACCAACACACACATGGGCACAGACGTAAGCATGCAACCCCACCTTCTCCCGGGCAGGCCCACAGATGGGGCCCCCCTGCAGAGGCACAGGAGTGGGGGACGGAAAAGGTGAGCAAAGGCCTTCTGCCAAAATCTCTGCAGCAGCTCGCAGGAGCAGGAGTGCGAGCAAAGCCCACCACCTGCCTATTAAAAGCGGGATTAAATGATGCTGTTCCCCCCTCACTCCCCGCCCCCTTCCCGCTCTCTCTAACATCATCCCCTTGGGGAAACCACCACCTTTACATGAGATTTTCCCTTTTTTTTAACCTCTTTTCTGCTCTGTGCCCCGCAGATCCTAGGGGATTAGCAGCCAGGCTGGGCCTTCCAACCTCCTTGAAGGCAGGTTGTTTCAGCCACCCCCCCCATGGGAACCTGCCCCAGGACAACTTTGGTCAATGCCTCCGGTGCTTCCCAGCCAATTTGTACCACCTAATCCCTGCGAGTATCGACAGCCCCTTTCTCACACATTCTCCTGCCTGCCTGAGCAGCCCAATCCTCTGCTCTCTACGCTCCCCTGTTGAGAAACCCTCCATCCACCGCCGGGGCCACGACCGCACTTCAAACACGCCAGTTCGACCCCGGCATTGTTTGCCAGAGAATTAAAACTGCAAGGCCAGCCCCAGCGAGTGATTTAGGTACTGAGACCAGACTGAGCCCCACAAGAGCACGGGCAATAAAACGCTTCGCTGCCCAGCAGTCTGGGCGATTGAGGTGTCTTCCCACGAGGAGGAGGCAGAGCCCAGAGGGACAGGGAGCTGGGTCGGGGCTTCTTCTTCCAGCATGTGCACATGGGGCAGGACCATCTCCTGGTGCTCACAGACCTGCCTCACCAGAGATGTGGGCTGGCCATCTCGCTAAAGCAATGAGGGTCACCCATTCTTTGCCATTGCTGATCCTCATGGCCCTTTGCAAGCTGCTGGGAAGGAAGATCAGAGGCCATAGGGACACACAGCTGGATGACTGCTTATCTGGGACATGGATAGAACTCAAAAGGGTGGGACAGAGGGACACTGGTCCAGTGACACAGTAGGAAATACAGTTCCCAACAGGTCTGCTTCTGCCTTCAAATTTTGCAGCTTGGGGCAAAAAGTTTAGGACTCCGTTTTTGAAATGAGATTGCCTGTCAGTAAACACCCCTGTGGTGGTTTCTGATGGGTTCTCTGGATGAAGCTGTGAACAGAAAATGGCTGTTTACATCCTTTCCCCAGTGCAAAGAGGCTGGGAGGTGATCTCCTTCCTTCAGCAGATCCCAGCACAGGGAAATCAGGAATTGCCCTTCATTTTCCCACCCCTGTCCTGGGGAAAGGATGTAGCACAATGTATGTTTCAGCCTCTGCAGGGATCATTCTCCAGAGGCCATTTCTAACCCCTGGTAGCCCTGCCTTTGCCATCATAAGAGAAGGTACAATACACCACTTGCTGGCAAGTGGGCTGGGGCTCCTGATGGCCCAGCTATGATACTTCTGAATTTCCCCTGAGCCAAGCAACCAGTTCCCTGCATCCCACGCTGCTGTCATGGTTGAGACCAATCCTATGGAGGATTTTAGGTCCTGTATTACTCTTCTTTTTTTCAATGGTGAGGTTGTTTCAGGCCAAACAGAGGCGACGGGTGTTCAGACAAGAGCATCTCCCGTGCCTGGCTGTCCCCGTCCCCGCGCCATGGCGGGGGAACACAGTGTTTTGGCACCTCCTCCTCTGTCACAATGTTTTTCAGCTCCACCAAGCAAAGTGCCCAATTAGAGCAGAGCCTCTTGCTTCCATCTTTGCCGACATTTAATTAACATGCTGCTGCTGGCAGCCGCTGACAAATTCCAGAAACATGTTGTAAAGGGTTTTTGTCTTTACCCAGCATGGAAAATGAGGGTGTCATATCCCAAGGGGATGTGAATAGCTACTTTTGACTCCCCCCCTCAGGTGTGAGAATTACAGCTAGATGTGGTGAAGAGACCTATCAGCCCTCCTACCTCCTTTTCCCCCCTCCTCGCTCTTTTCCTTTCCTGCTCCTCACATTAAATCACCCAGGAAAACATGCAGATTTTAGGCCTAATTTTCATTCCTGTTTCCTCCAACTCTGGCTGAAGCCTGATAGTCCAGTTAAGAGGGACACCATGCTCTGGCTTTGGACTCTTGCAGTTATATACGTATGGCATAGCACCAATAAGTGGAAGGAGCTGTCTGATGACACAGGAAGAAATGGGTGAAGCCAAAAAGAGGGAAAGAGTCTTGCCATCCTGCGCTGTATGCACAAACAAGGTTCCCAAGGAGCTGACGGAGGCCTCAGTAGAGCAGGTCAAGGGAAGGTGATGGTAGAGATATTTAGGAGTGTAGATAGACTCACACCTGCCTTCACCCACACCGTGGATGGCTAGATGAGCACAGGGACAGCTGCTGCACCCCAGCACCCCCTCCCCAAAAAGCACCAGCCTGACCTGTGTTTCCCACAGGGGCTCAGCCCCTGCCATGAACTCCTCCAGGATCACTATCTTAAGGTGCCAGGTCCTAACCCTGGCATCTCCCCAGCCTGCACTATCTAATATATCATGTAACTAATACTCCCAGCCTGTATTGCCATCGTTCATGCCTCCACTTTGGCTCCCAGGTGTCAGGAGTGTGCCAGCGCCCCCTCTTTGCTCCCGGCAGCCCAGAGCTCTCCCGGCAGCTGCCCTGTGCCGCTGGTGGAAGAGAGGGGGTCTGAGCGACATCCCATCCCGCTCCGCCGCTGGCACACGGGAGCACAGGCCTGGAAAGAAGAACACGTCTTTATTTTATCCACAACAGCGCGCTACAAAAGCAGGAGAGTAGGGCAGAGCCCTCGTCGTCACGGGGAGTAAACGAGCCTTCGGCCCCGGAGCGGAGCCCGCGGTCCTGCGGCGGGGAAGGAGCGGGGCGGGGCGGGGGCGGCTCAGGGCGACGTGGGTTTGTCGGGGTTGTGCATGTGGTACACGTCGCTCTCCTCGTCCTCCGGCACCTGCGGCGCGGCAGAGCCCCCTGAGCCCCCCGGGCCGGGCCGCGGGCCGACAGCGCCATCTCGTGCCCCCCGCCCCGCTCCCACCCCGGACCCCCCTCACCTCCCAGTAAACCTCGTCCTCGAAGCAGTTCTCGGCGGCGGCGTCCCCCCAGATGGGCAGCTTCAGGATGCCCCCTGGAAGGAGGCGGGCAGGGCGGTGGGCAGGGGGCCGTGATGCCGGGGGGATGCAGGCGGGATTCGTATGGTCCACCCAAGGGGGCAAACGCAGCCCTGGCACGGTGCTCGGTGCCGTCCCCCGCCCCGGGCGCATCCAGCCATGGGCAGGAGCACGTGGATGCCTCCGTTTTAGCCGCAGGCGGGCACAACTCTCCCCTTTGGCTTACCCACAATGGCCCCCCCGACAAACGCCATCAGCAGAGACACCACAATCCCGGCCGCCTGGAACCCTCCTTGGACACTGGGTGTCCTCGTCTGGTACACGCCAGTGAAGTCAAACGCCTTGATGAACCTGCCGAGGGCAGAAACGGCGAGGATTGCTCCTGGCAGGAGATGTGTTGCTCTGCTCCCTCGGGGACTCCTCCCTAGCCCCATCCCTCCCCTGCAACGGACCAGGACAGTGTTGCAATGACCAAAACACTGCTCATTTCCTTCTACTCTGGCCCATGGCAAAGCTTTACCTAGGAGGACCACAAAATATAAACATGCCCTTTGTGTTTCAGACCTTCAGCCGTACCTGACCCTCCAAAACAATACAGGGGGGAGGGAGGAACACTTCCCTACCCGCTGTGGCCCAGAATAATGCCAAGCAGCAAGACTGTGGCTCACTTTTTGAGGCTACGAGAAGAGGCAAGAGATGAGGCTTTTACACTTCAGTAAGTCCAAGACACTTATTGCACCTCATGTTTTTTTAGGGGCAACTGAACAATTAGAAAAGACTTTTAAATGCTCCTTGCTCCCAGCCCAAGGAGCCTCAGGTAAAATGTATTCTCAGAGAAGATTTTCAAGCTGTCTTACCCTTCCTTTCCATATACATCCTCTGTAGCTGCAGCTGCTGTGATGGCCCCCACAATGCCACCAATAAGGCCTGGCATGGCGTGGAGGTTGTGGATGCCACATGTGTCCTGAATGTGCAACCTAGACTCCAAAAAAGGCTGAGGGAGAGGGAAGTAGAGAGAGATCAGGGAGATGAACATGGCCCTGGAAAGGATTAGTTCCTTCCACAGAGGATAAGCAGAGAAGGAAGACTGACATTGTGTCCCATTAAAGTGCTAAGGGCTTGTAGACAAAGATGTGAGCCAAGATCAAGATGAAATAATAAAATTTCCTCCAAACACTCTCCTCTTGGGAGTCTGCATCTTCCTGAGCATTTTGGGGCAGTAAATAGAGTCAGAAGTGCATCTCATAAGGGATTCTGGGAAGCAGGAATCCTCAAATGGAAGTGAATCCATTTCTGGTCTCCTCAGCCAGACCAGGGCTGCAAGACCCCTCGAGCAGCACTCACCGTGAAGTAGACATACCCCACTGTGGACACGATGCCAGAGATGGACCCAACAATGAGGGAGCCGTATGGAGTCAGCATCATCTCCGCGCTGGTGCCCACGGCCACGCCGCCCGCCAGCGTGGCGTTCTGGATGTGAACCTGCAGGAGTAACCGCCCTGTCTTGGCATCTCAGGGAGACTGTAATTGCTCAGGCATGGTGCAAATGGCAAAGCAGAAGAATCAGCTCTGAAAGTGTCTCCAGAGTAAATATCAGGGCCCATTTTCCTGCTTGGTCGTGAAAAAACAGGAGAAGAGCAGGCAGTTTCTGTCTGTAGCACAGGTGCACATAGACTCCCACTCCCTGTACCACACACGTTCTTTGCATCCACAGATCTGGGTGGGGAGTTGCGATGAGATGGAAATTGTCTCACCCGTGTGTCACGCAAGCTCTGCTGTCACAAAGACATGTCACCCACACACCTAACGCGCACAAGTCAGCCCCCCGATTGCTCACGAGCTGCTGCACAGGCCCTGCTTGCTGGAGAGTGCTGCCAAACACGGCTCTGCAACGCACCCAGCTCTGGGCAAAGCAAGTCCAGTTCCTGCTGTGACTTGGGTCCACTGCAATGCAGGGCATCACCCCACACCTCAAGCACTGCAAGACACATTTCCCCCTTTTTTATTCAACATAATCTCAGTTTATGCCCGGATGCTGGTTTCACCATTATGCCCTGAAACCCTGCATCTGTTCTGCAAAGGACAAGTGCCAATCGTTTCCTAGACTCTCAATCAGCCTCATTACAAGTCCATTGCAGGGCTCTCTGCTCCCAGCTTACCATGTCAAGCTTGCCCTTCTTCTGCAGCATGCTGGAGAAGGCCATGGTGGTGAGGACACAGGCAGCCAGTGAGCAGTATGTGTTAATGGCCGAGCGGTGCTGAGCATCCCCGTGCTCAGAAATGGCTGAGTTAAAACTGGGCCAGTACATCCATAGGTACAGGGTACCTGGTGGGATGGGGAGGATGGGACAAGGAAGAGAATAGGAAAAGTGAGAATACAGGGACTGGAAAAAAAAATCCTCTAAACATCTTTCTGCACACGGTGAAATCAAATCCTACAGTCCTGCTGCCCCGGAGCTGCACCCCACGTGATGCAACCAGCATCAAGAAGGGCTGCCACAGAGAAGGAAAATGCATCCTTGTTTTCCCAAGCACTGTCTCAGCCCATCCACTGATGAAGGGAGCTGAGTAACTCTGAAAGGTGAAAGACCTCTGGGATACAGAGCTCCTCAGCTCCATATCCTGGTTTCATTTTTTCCCAGGGACACAGGAGGAACCAGCTGTCTGCAGCTGAGTGCTCCACATGTAGCAGTGTCCTTGAGACGAGGGCTGACTCACCGATCATAGCAAAGAGGTCGGAGTGGTACACGGAGCCCTGCTTGTCCTTACTCTGCTCCAGGTTGGGTCTGTACAGGATACGTGTCACTGTGAGGCCAAAGTAAGCTCCGAAGGTGTGAATGGTCATGGAGCCACCTGCGTCCTTTACCTGCAGCCATGGGGAAACAGAGGTTTGCTTCTGTCATGGCCACTCATTCTGGAGCTGAGGCCCGATTTGCATTGTGACCGACTTGTTTGCCCATTCAACATTTCTGCCTGCACACAGTCATATGGAGAGGTGGACAAAACTGCTCTGGTCCCGCTCTCTGTTCCGCTCACTTGATCCTGTGCACAAGCTTCTGCTTGGAAGGCATTGAGGCAGAGGGGAGTTTCTGACCTGTCCCAGTGGCAAGAAGGTTGCAGAGATAGCCAGATTGGCTCCCAGGTGCAGTCTTGTGAGAGCCTGCTTGCTTCTGGCCCTCCAAGCCCTCTTTCAGAGGGCAGGAACCCTGCCTCTGTCAGCAGACATCTCGTCCTCTTTGTCACTTGATTTCCTTCTGCAATACCCATACTCCAGCAGGGAAAACAGACAAGATGGAAAGCTCAGGCACAAAGAGAGTGACTGGTCATTTGTGCTAAGACTCCTTGTCTGCTTTGGGAGCTGTGACAGAGGGACCCAGTGCTCCTGAATTGCCAGGATGGTGTTTAAAATCCCAGAAGATCTCCCTTTTCGGGGAAGTAACACCCGCTGACCCTTTCCTTCATAATCTGCCTAATTTTTCTGCTTGAATTCTTGCATTTTAAATGCTTTTGAAGGAACTATAGCTTGGTGGAGCCATAGCAAGGGGAGACAATTTGGAGAGATGCAGAAAGGGAGGAACAAAACCAAGAGGGTACTACCTAAAGCCTTACATGGAGCAGGTTGAGGAGGATGTACTCATTCACTGAAAAGAGTGTGACTTGAAACAAAGTCATGACGAGGAGTTGTATGGGGCTGGTTTTGCCCAGGATGGCCCCAAAGGCAATGCACACAGAGCCCACGCAGAAATCAGCATTGATCAGGCTGGAAAAGGGAAAGGAAAATTGTGGTTTGATAAGGAAATACTCCTCTTAACTCACCCTCACTCATCCCCAGCTCTAGAGATCCCACCCAAAGGCAAGCAGGTGATTAGGAGACATCCCTGGGTTTTTCCCATTGGCTTTCCTCCCATTCTTACATACTGACCAGGAAATATGCTTTCCCCCAGATTATTTAGATAATGTGGATTATACATGTTCTCAGCACTGGCATCCACAGTGCTTGTCTTGGGACTAAGAGGGGATGCTCCTCTCATGTTTTCCTTTGAGCAGTACCACCATAATGGCAGGTACCTTTTGGACCAAAAGGTGGAAGGCAAATGGAGATACGTGCAGAGAAGAGGGCAGTTTAGAGACTGATTTGATATAACTGAGGGACAGGTGTTGGCAGCTGCTTGGCTCCCATTCCAGCTCTTCCACTGGCCAGTCAAGAGGTGGCATCCCAGAGCCCATCTCCTCCTTACTTCTCCACTCCAATGAGGATCTTTCCATTCTTGAAAGAGTGGAACCATCCTTGCATCAGGAGAGCCCACTGGATCCCAAAGGCAGCAAGGAGGAAATTGAAACCCACAGCTCCGAATCCATAACGCTTGAGGAACGTCATGAGAAAGCCAAAGCCCACAAAGATCATCACATGGACATCCTGGAAAGCTGAGGAGAGGGAAGGGACTGTCAGTTCTGCAAGAAGAGCAGGGCTGCAAGTGCCACTTGCATTTGGTGTTGAAAAGAAACCAACTGCATCACGGGCAGTAGGGAACTCAAGTGACAATGTGTGTTTGTCTCATGTCCCTCTGTTCTAAGCCTGAAAATGGCTCAGCTTTCAGAAACTGGCTTTTGGTTAAAAAGGCTCAGTCTTGTAAGTAAATGCTTATTAAAAGCTGTGTGCAAGAGAAGACCAGAGGCTAATGGAGTGTACAGAAGAAAACATATTTCTACTCAGATTGTTTCTCCCCTTCTATAAAAGACTTGGAAAATGTCATATGAAATGAACAGTGAAGTTTTGTTAAAACACATGAATGATCATTTTGGGTAGGTCTGTCCGATGCAGGGTCCTGTTAATGGCCCAGAGCAAGGAGAGCACAAGAACAAGGAAAGTTTACAAGTGCATTTTTAAATGCTGCTGAAATCAGTGCCAAAATACCCTTGAGACCAGAAATCCACCTTGTGAGATTTATAGTGCTTAAACCAGAGAGACCCAGTTCTTCCCACTAATGTTCAGACCTGCTCAGTCGAGCCCCTCAGATGCCCTTCCCCGGGGGAAGCCAGACCTGTGTAAGCCTCTTGAAAGACCTTCTTGGTGCAGTAAATCTGCTGTACTTCTTAATGCTGTACATTTCTATCAGATAAGCATCACTTTGCAATTAAGTGAGCTGAAATGCTTGCATACTTACCATGCAAGCTCTCTCACTGCAGGCCACTGTGCCTGTGAATAAACAGGAGACCCAAGGCTGGGATCCCCCACTGGGATCTGTAGAACAGATGAACACACCATTTATGGAGCTACACCAGCAAGCTCTACGTTTTGCGGTGCACAAACCATTATAACAAGCAATGTCTGTGCACCTCAGAGAGGGCATAAGCTCAGGGCAAAAAAAATTCAGTGATGGCAAATACACTCTACCTCCAATCCACTCTATCCCAAACCCACTCTACCCCAGAGTTCAGACAGGCTTAAGCCATGTAGTGCCATGTTAATCTGCTTGTTTTTTAAAATGCCTCCCATGCCCATGAAATCACTCATAAAAAAGGAAGGAGACAAGATCTGCAGCTGGAACTGTTCAGCAGAGGTCACTTCAAACGTACTTTTCCACATGTCCTAAGAACCAGCCTTTCTTACTCTGGTTTTACCATACAGTCCCACAGACTTTCCCTCTGCAGCTGTATTTATTCTCCCTCTCTCTCTTCTCCAGTGTGAGCAGCACAATACAAAGCTGGAATTATCTGCTGCCATTTGTATTATATATTCGTTCTTTCATCCTAAAAGCAGAAATACACAGGTCAGAGTTAAAGCTGCAGACTGTGTACCCTCCAAAAACACAGAGGACTCCACTGTGTGTTAGACCCTGTACAAACCCAGGAGGAAGAGTAGGCCTTTCTTCAAACTGCACCCAGTCCAAAACCCTTTTCTAACCCTTGTCTTTGTTTTCCCTTGTGAAGAATAACATTGACATCACTAAGAGGCAGCCCAGGCACTGCCATGCCCTAAAGGTTTTGTGAGCCTCCTTTTGTGGGAGGACGATTGCCATAACTATCGAACAGAAGTGTTTGGGCTTTGGGAATGTTACCCGGACAAGGAATCTCATTTCTTTTCCCCTAGAGAGCAGATGAGTCACCCATCAGGGAATATCCATGTGTGATTCAAAATGAGAAGGAATTGTCACACTGACTGGACCTGGATTCCCTCTGCCTGCCTTCCCAACCATCTCTGTCTCAAAGGACGTGTCAGGTTGTTACTCCTATCCCTCTGCCACTGCAGACAGGTCCTGGGGACAGCAGCAGGCACAGATATGTTGATACAAATGATCCTCAGGTGTTCAACCACCACACTCTCTTCTGAGCAGTGCTGGATGGACACAGGGATCAAAATTCCAGGGCTTGGCCGCCTTGTTGTGTTTGCCCATCTTTGCAGAAAGAGACTATTTCTGATTAGATAAGGGATAAAAAACAGCTCTGCTTTTGGGCACGTGAACCCTTCCTCGGGTCTGAAACAGAAACTTAATTCAAAGCTAAACTGAGCAGTTGCCCATAGACTGATTTAGTTGAGTGAATCTACTCAGCCATTTGAGGGGGATTATTTGGCACTGTGGAGCAGGAGTGGGATATGAGGACAGAAGAAATGTCATGTTCTTAGTTCCTACAAGCTCTTCCTTGGACTCCTGACGTCCTCGCAGCACATCAGTGACAAGAGCAGCTCTCAGGCACTGCTGCTGCTTCATGCCAACCTGTGTGGGGCTAGTCCCAAGGGCAGATCTCCAGGGAGAGCTCAGGGCAGCCACAGCCATACACTAACTCGGAGGCTGGCTGAGCAGTGGGTTACTGTAAGCAAATCCTTCTCTGAACTAGCTAATCCTCAGCAGCCACAGGTTGCTATAGCTTCTTTGATTTAGCAGGTGTTTTTAATGGAAATGTTCTAAATAGATGCATGACTCAGGCCTGTTGCTTCCTTGGAAACAATTGCCTACAGAAGCAGCCTGTTCTGAAAGGCTCACAGAGATGACCAGCCCTGTAGATCAAAGCCACCCAAAGGCACTTCCCAGCCAGAAGGGCTTTAACCACCTGAATAATCCCTGTGGCACTACCGTGCAGTGACCCAAGAGCCCTGGGAACCTGGTAACTTAGGAAGACTCTGGCATTGAAATGCCAGTCGCTAAAGGGTAATTCGCTAGTGAGGGGGAGGACGTAGGAAGGGGAGGAAGATGTCACAGGATCTCGACAGCCATTCCTCTGTATGCACAGAAAGGCTTGCTCTGATCCAGAGCTGAGGGAGGGGGCAGCAAGCTGAAACTTGCAGGGTGCTGGGAACACGTCAGCCCTATTCCTGGAAAAAAGACGTCATGGTACCCTGCTGACAGAGCCCCAAGAGTGCCTGGAGGGCCACGAGGTTTTTCTCTTGCTCTTTGGTGCACCCCAAACCAACCACAAGGCAAGAGCCCAACTTTCTAGCAATAGGTGGAGAGATTGCCTCTGACAGGCTCTGCCGTAGGACAGAATAGGATGGATGTGATGGGTTGGGATGGGATGGATGGGTGGGGACTAGCCAGCAGCAGGACTACACTTCCAGAATACTCACATGGGTATCGGAAGTAGAAATCATTCTCCATGTCACTGGTCAGGTTCAGCTCTCGCTTCTCTTCCTCCCAGTGTGCATCAGCTTCGGGGCCGAAGCGCACAAAGACCCCAAAGAGGACAATCATGGCCACCTCCCAGAGGAGGCAGACGAGCGGGAGCCGCCAGCGCATGTACGTGTTCTTCACCATGCCCTGGTGCCTCGGCCTGTCCATCCACAGGGATCTGCAGGGGCCCAGCAGCGAGCCTGTGTCCCTTGTGCCTGGGCACTGCCAGGGACATATATAAGTCGGAGAGGGCGAGGTGGGGCCCAGGGAGGTGTCTGCGGCAGGATCACATTTCAGAGCACTGGAGCCTCAGCAGGCTTGTTCCTCTAACCCACCTTCCTCCCCGGGAGGAGGGACAGGAAAAGGAACCCTTCCCCCAGGCTGCTCTGAGCACCTCTGAGCCCTGCCTGCACAGGGACAAGTAGAAGATGTGGAGGCCAGTGAGAGTGGGAAGTGGAGCCTGGGCGTCCAGCCCCCTGCTCTGCCCAGTCCCACACCCCGATCCCTGCTGTCCTGAGCACCCTCCCTCCCTGCACTGGGTGGTCCCCTCACCATCCTCCTGGCTCTGCACCCTTCCCCAGCTGCAACTGAGGTGAAGGCAGAGTGCCTTTTGCTTCAGCTCTCAGCTTTTGGAAAAGCAGACCGTGGTGCAGCCATAGGAGAAAGAGGAGATATATGACTCTAACCAAGATCCTGCATGCACGCAGAGACATGCAATGGCCCAAGGCTGCCATACAGCTATAAGGATGTTCAAGTGACACATGTTCCTTTATTTCCCAAATTACCCAGTGCATCTTCCTGGCAAGACAAACTGTGCTGGGGCTGCATGAAGCAGGGCATTACTGTGAGATGGTGCTGTGGATGGGACTGGAGACCAAAACGTTCCCTCCTCTGGTATGGGGCATCCTTTAATTAACAAACACAAACAAAAAACTCCTTTTTTCCTACTGTTTTGAACTATGTGCTCTTTCCTCAAAGAGCTAGGCAAGTCCTTCAAACAGATCACAGCTCCTTCCTCTGCCTACAGATCCCTGGGATGCCTGTCAGTCTTCAAGAGATAAAAGACTGCAGCCCAGGCAAGCTGCCCAAATTTGCTGATGGCATCTAATTGTGGCCCGCAGGCTGAGCAAGCAGCACTGATTTCGGTGTTGATTAGGCAATAATTTGAGTTTATTATTTTTTCTTGTTTGCTTTCTTCTCAAAATGACAGATGGCAGAAAAATGCTGTGGATGGTCTTGAAGTGACTGACGGCCACACAAAACCATTCTCCAGTCTCATTTGAACCCCGTGCAGGCAGCAGAGACAGCGCTGTGAAGGAGAGAGAAGCCCATCTGCCTGGCCCTTACCCTGCATGAGCAGAGCTTCGTGTGACTGGGGTCACTTGGTGGGGACACCTAAAGCAATTGGATGTTGCTGTTGTCTGGAGGACGAGCACTCTCTCAAGCGATGCTGCTCAGGGTATGTTTTTGAGTCTCCCATTAAACATGGTTTCTGCGGGGCAGTCTCAGCTGTACACACCAGGAAACAAAAGACTTCCATCTAGAAAGAAGCTGAAATCCCTAAACAATACTTGAGCTCTAATTGCTGGAAGCACTGTTGACAGTTGCATGTTCTCCTGCCAACTACGTGGTAGGACCAGTATTCTGCCCTGCCCTAAAGCAGCTCCTAGACACCTTGAGAAATGCAGCAGAGGGTTAAAACCCAAGGGTTTTAAACTTGCTAAGGTACTGTAGCCACCAGCAGTTATGCTTTGTGACTACTCTTCAGCAAAACTAACTGCAGAGCTTTTCTAATCCATGGTCTCACTGAAATGGCAGTGTCTCCAGAAAAGCAGCTTGCAAAGCCCTTGCACAGCCCCAGGAGGCAGCAAGTCTATCCCATCTGCTGTCCCCAGCCCCTCTCCCCATGTCTGAAAGCCCAGGACAAAGCTAATGGCTTTTCTGCTGGCCTGATAGTCTCACCTTGCTGCACTGCCTGGCACTGCCGCTCCTTATCGGCCCCCAGATCAGCACTTTGTCACTGCAGTCCCATCAGGGCTGGCATGCTCCACTGGCTGCCCATGCCAGGAAAGCCCATTAAAGGACCAGCTACTCTCCAGGCTCCTTTGCAGGGCCAGGATAACACTGGAAAGGTTGACAGGGCCATGCCAGCACAAGTGCCTGCAGCAATGCAGGCAGAGTGCCTCCAGTGATGGGTTAGACCACCATTGCATCCACCCTACAAGGTACCTAACTGCATGGTAGGACACATGGGGCAGCTTTCATCATGCCCCAGTCACCAATATCCAAGTGGTTAAAAGTCCTGTTGGAAACTCCAGGCTGGTGTGAACCAGAGCAGTGTTTGCTGGAGACAACGCTCACCTGCTCCACCATGGAATTTGGCACATCATGTCCAGCACCCATAAGAGCTGGAAGCTTTCCCCAAAAAAACACTGAAATGAAATGACGTTGGGGGAAAAGGTACGTTTGTCTTTCTATTGAAGAGACATGGGACTGGATCTGGCAGTGGTCAGGCAGTTGCCTTGGGTGAAGGTTGTACAGTGCTGGTCCCAGCTGGGTCTCTCCCACTTTCTAACTTTAATGAGCACTAAAAATATTTGAAAGATGTAGAGACAAAATCTAAATTACACTGAACCCCCTCCCTCTTGCCTGGAGGCCTTGGGGCAGCTTCCCCCTGGAGAGGAAGGAATGGGGGCTCCTTGGGTCACTGTGAACTGTCCTGGCAGATCTTATCCCAGCCAACGCTGGGCCAAGGCACTGTGCTGGCTCTGAGAGGTGACCTTAAAGCTGTAGACCCCAGGGGTCTGGAAGTGCCCAGGGGAAAGCAGCCCTTTTTTCAGCCCCCACGTATCCCTTGGAGAGAAATGCTGGAAGCAGGACAAAATAAAGCAAGACTTTTTTAAGTTAAAAAAAATCCTATCTGGATCAAAGTGTCAACCAAATGTGGGCCCAGCTTACGAACGATTTTTCTTGTGCCTTCTCCCTCCTCCCAAGATACCACATTTATCAGCAAGTAAATGATTGTCCAGAAAGAACCCAAGGACTGTTTGAGAGAGGCCAGTGTCCTTGGGCAGCAGGCAGAGAGGGCGAATGTCTCTGTGAGCACTTCAAGCACTATGCAAGAAGCAGAGGTGTGAGTGATTCTGGCTGTCGCACTGGGAAACACGGTCACCAGGGCTCAGCCAATATCTGACGGCTTTCCCAAGAGCTGGATGGTCTTCAAGAGCAAATACACTGGAGTGGGCAGGAAAGGAGCAGGAGTTTGAGTAGCTGGCAGCAGTTCCTGTGTTGGAAGCTGCCAGGATTTGCTGGGAAACTCCCCTTTGCCCCGAGCTTGTTTTTGGTCCCAGGTGGACTGTGATAAGGCAGGTTTTGGTCACACTCTGCTAAATGTCCTCAGTGGGCTGCTGGGACAGACACCAGTAGCTGGGCAATGGCAGTGAGAGCATAATGGGGTTGGCTCTTCTTCAGGGCTCAAACAGGACAATGATATATCAACAAGCAACAAGAGGCATCTCATGGACCAAGAGCAACCCCCAGCGAGGAGGAGGGACCCATGGCTCCCCAGGGAGCCTCCAACCCCAAGACTGCAGGCTGCCCTCCACAATTCCAGTCAGAGAGACCTGTTGTCCTTCCCTTGCTCTTGGTGGCAGGTTAGTCCTGGGCACCCAAGTGGATCAGCTCCTTGTTCCAGCTTGTTAAACCTGCTTGTGCTCAGAGTCACCAGCAAAGCCGAACGGGCCATTTATTGCCCGCTTGTCTTTGTTGCTTTATAAATACAACTGGCTGCTGGTGACACTGGTTTAGGCTGGGACATTCGAGCTCTGGAGAGAAGGGTGGGGCGGCTCTGGTCTGCAGGGCTTCCTTTGCTGCTACCTTGCGCGATCACACCTGGACCTCCCCACGTCAGCCCTTGTCCAGGTGCCGTGACCCTACAACTTTCCAGAGAACCATCAAGGCTGGAAGAGACCTTTAAGATCATCCAGCCCAACCATCAACCCATCACCATCGGTGCGACCAGCAAACCACATCACCCAGCGCCAGATCCAGACAGGTCTTGAACACTTAGAGGGGCGGTGACTCCACCACCTTCCTGTGCAACCTATTCCAATGCCTGACCACCCTAAAAAATGATATATTTTTTTTCCTAATATCTAATCTGAATTTGAACCTGAACTTCACCCATACGGGCCCTGGGCTGTCCGTGCCGTTGCTGCGGGGATGCTCAGGGGGGAGGTGCCGTATGGGGCAGCCGGCAGGGCTCTGCCCGCCCCCGCCCGCGGGCGGCTGGTGGGTGTCGGGGATGGGGAGGTGCCGTGTGCGGGCAGGCGCGGACCTCTAGCGGCGAGCGGGGCCTGCCGGGGTGCGGGGCGGGCAGGGCCGGTCCCGCGGCTCAACCCCGGTGCCCTGCAGGACCCGCGGCCGCCTCCGTGACGTCCCGACCGCAACACGTGACGTCACGCGATCACGCCCCCTGACGTCACCGTCACGCGCACTTTCGCCGTCTTTAAATTTTAAAACGGCGGCGGCCAATGGGCTCGTTCCGCGCGCTGGCCCCGCCCCTCCCTGTCGTCAGGCGCGCTCCCGCCAATGGGGGAGCGAGGAGCGGGGTGGTGGATGGGGCGGGGCTCTCTGCGGCAGCCAATGGGGGCACACGCAGGCCTAGGGCGCGAGCAGCCGGGTCGGGCCGGGTGGCCGGTGGCGGCGTGAGGGGCGCGCGCCATGTCGAGCTCCCGCAGCGCCGTGTTCCTGCTGGACACCGCCGGCCCCGCGCGCCGGGAGCCGCTCCAGCGCGGCGCCCTCCGCCTCCTCACGCTTCTGAGCTGCCGCTTCGGCCTCGCCCGCCTCCGCTGGGCATTCCGCTTCTTCGACTCGCTCGGCGGCCGCGGCGGCGCCTCGCGGGGCGGCGGGTTCCGCCCGCCGGGCCCCCGCGCCTGGGAGCGGTTCGAGGAGGACCTGGTGGAGCGGCTCCGGGCGCGGGGACCCTCGGCCGCCCTGCCCGGCCCCGCGTCCCGCGCCGCCCTCACCCACAGTGGCCTCAAGGAGACGCTGCTCGACTTCCAGTGGGACCGCCCGGAGATCGCGTCCCCGGCCAAGCCGCCCCGCAGGAGCCGCAGGAGGGGGCCGGCCGGCCCAGAGCCCCCCGAGGCGCCCCCTGAGGGCTTCGTGAACGCCGTGTTCGTGTTCTCGCCCTGCCCGCACTCGCGGAGGGAACTCCGGCAGTTCGTGTCGGGGAGCGATGCCCCCTCCT